CAATATGAGTTTCTTGTTTCTCAATTATTTCAATATTCTTTTTCTTGCATTTTTGGTTATGATCATGTGCAAGATGTATTTCTCACTCTTCAGCTGTTTTTGCATCTCTCCTTTTTTTCTATTGGTTGATTAATCATGTGTTGCCATTTTAATTGGTCAAAACAGCATAGCTGAGAATAAAAATCACTTCTATATTTGAACGGTCTCTGCTGTAGGAGTAGTCGGCTGTAAATGTTGTATAGTATGCTATAAGTGGTGTAAAGTGTCGTGATAGATATATAGTATGCCGTGATTGGTGCTATGTACCGTGATTATGCTGTGTGCTGTGAGTAACGCGTATAAGAATGTACAGTAAAGTAACAAATGAAAGTTAATTATTTTTTCCAAAATGTTCATTCATTTACTGTTGAGTCGACTGATTGAAAAGGTAATTAGAAACCTTTTGCTGAATATGACTTTAACCAACTCATTCGAATAAACGCTATTACTAGTTTCTGGAGCAGAGCGGAGGAACTTAAGTCCGGACAATAGGTAAAAAAAATTCCGTATGGGTCGACTTCAGTTTAAAATGCAATAAGCAAAATTTAACCAGCACGTCATCAATAATCAACAAGTAATCAATTTAGCAATATACTTAGACATAATATTTAACTTTTATGAATATATAATCAACAAGTAATCAATTTAGCAATATACTTAGACATAATATTTAACTTTTATGAATATGACATATTATTCTTTCAAATTGATGTATACAATTCATACATAATTTTTATTTTCTACAGTTAAAAAAAAATAAAACCAAAAATTCAACGGCATTCAGTATTATGTAGTTAGTCACTTATAGTAATAATAATAATAATAATAAAATTAGCAGGCATCACAACTAGCGACGGCATAAGTCAACTTTTTCATGTGTCAAAATATCATACAGAGACATTAATATCTGACATATATTTATTATAATAAAGCCGCTTAATGAATCATTTAAACAAGTTGATTAATATTCTTGCTTTTAAATTATGAAAGTAAATAATAATAAATATAATTGTTCTAAGTAAAAATAAGCATAGTGATAATGTTAGTGATCTGTTTTGCATAAAATGAAAAATAAAAAAAATACACTTTAATGTAACCAACTTTCCCAATAAATTACTTCAATAGAACACAATATTTAATAATAATCCAAGTACAAATAGTTGTTAATTTTCACTCTAAAATTAGTGTTTCTTATTAACTTTCGCTCTTAAAATGAATGTCAAAACTGCTGCTATAAATGATCAAAATAAACACGATCGAAATTCAAAACAAATGAAAGAAGATACAGAAACTGCTGAGGAGCGAGAAATATATCTTGAACATAGACACAACCAATAGAAAAAAAGGAGAGATGCAAAAACAGCTGAAGAGTGAGAAATACACCTTGCACATAAACATAGCCAATAGAAAAAAAAAAGAGATGTGGAAACTATCAAAGAGAAGAAATGTGTATTGAATATGAACACAATAAAAGGCAAAAAAAATAGATACAAAAACTGTGAGAAACAAGAAGAACATCTTGCACATGATCATAACCAAAAATGCAAGAAAAAGAATATTGAAATAATTGAGAAACAAGAAACTCATATTGAGAATAACTGTAAATCAGAACTTTCAGAATCTGATAAAAAACTTTAAACACTTTTTGTAAAATAATGGTGAAAACTAGAAATGAGTATTGCCCAACTAGTAAAGAATGTTTTCTCTCTATAATTCTCTATCAATATGAATACCAACAATGCTATAAAGAAAAGACCCCAAAAATTTTTTAATTAAAAATAATATGAATCCAGGTTAAATTATATAAATTCTACTAAAAAGAATAAAAAAATAAGAAAATAAAAATAAAACAAGCTTATATATAAACTTAATTTAGGTGATTTATCTCAGGAGCTCCAGAATCTTACTAATATTGAAAAGATGTTAATCACACAGGTTTTTTTTGTAGTATCAGTTTATAATCTTCGTGGAGGACAGTATACATATCAGAAAAATGTTATTAATTTTTTCTAAGATATACAAAGCTTTATAACTCACCTTCCACATTATTCTTTATTATTAAATACACTTATTGTATAGTAGTCATCTTTTAATAGATCAAAATTTCAAGATTTTCAAGTTCAACAAGATAAAGTATATCATGCTCTGTTGGCTAAAGATTAATAATTCCTTTTATTACAATATTGATATTGACAAGAATATACTTCAATTGTTATCTGAAAATGGCTCGATAATTGAACAACTCCCACAGATTTCAAATAATAATAATTCAAATGATAAAAAAGAATTATATGAAAACAATGTAGACTATGAAGATAATATAATTTTACATACCTTTGTTCCTATTCCACCTTCTATATGTTGTAAAGACAAAGCAATTAATAAGGCTCTAAGTAACTTATAAAATAAATATTAGCCTCCAGTAATTGAATAGCCCAATATCAAATATACACCAATTGATGAATTTAATATTCCAGAATATATAGCACATGCTTTCCTTGCACTTTATTCTTATGGTATTGCTGATTTACATTCACCCAGAATCAAAAAAGTCCAGCCAGCTGAGTATTTTCAATATTTCTTGAAATATAATGATGGTTGCTTTGTACATCATCTACATTAATATTATTTTGCTTTAAATTTATTGTCGCGGCTGAAGCTGGAAATGGCTGAAGCTGGAAATTAGAGGTCTCGATTTAAAACTATAAGCCTTGCTAAAATCCAACTATACTCTTTTATTATAAACCCTAACCCTAAATTCTAATCTAACTATAAAAAAAAATCGTACAAAATGCATTCCAAAATTTTTTGTAAATTTCATATTAAAATATTTAAAATTTTCAGCTTCAGCCATTTCCAGCTTCAGCCACGACATTTATTAATGCAATAATGAGCATTACAATATGGGCAGATATATATCAAGCAAAACTTAAAAGATGGTCAACTCATAGCTGAAGAGATTCAAGAGTTATTGTAATCTAATACTAATATAGCAAATTGTGTAATATGATATGGTGAAGTATTACATAGTATCTATCAATATTGGGTATGACAAAGATGTAAATTATTAGACATGATATGCCAGTTAGGATCTCAAGGAATAGTATTTTTTATCTTTAGTTCTGCTGATCTACAATGGTCTAAATTATATGATCTCATGCCTAATAGTGAAAATCTAGTAGATGGTGAAAATGACAAGGAGGTTGCTAAACATAAATACTATGATTTAATTAATAATCCACATATAGCTGCATGGTTTTTTAATAAAAGATTTGATGCATTTTTTGAAAAAATCTTAGTTCTAAAGTGAAATTTAATAGATTGGTGGTTCCACTTTGAGTGGCAGCACTGAGGTAGTGTATATATTTATGGAATTGAAATTAGAGGTGATGCTTCAAATGCTAAATTAAATAAAATTAAAGATAATAAAAATTTAATGCAAGATATTTTGCAATATATAGATATCTTTATTACTACTATCAATTCGGATATAAATACACCAATACCAAATAATCATCTATGTCAAAAATGTATAGAATACTGTAAAGATAATTTACAAGACTATGTTGAATTAGTCAACAAACTTTAAAGACATACATAATGCAGTACATTATATTGTTTAAAAACCAATATACAAATAAGACAACAAATTTGTAGGTTTGGGTTTCCCAAAGAATTGAAGGAACAAACTATTATACAATATAATAATTGTGGTCAACCAGAGTTGTTAACTGCCAAAAACAACCCTTATATAAATTCACACAATCATCTTTAACTTCAAGATTAGAGAGTGAATGTAGATTTAAAGTCTATACTTACTACTTATGCTATATTACAATATGTATCAAAGTATGCAAGTAAGGCTAAACCTTGATCAGCATTATTTTTCAACATATTAGACAATATTCTTTGTCATAATAAACACAATAAGCCCTCTATCAAGTCTTTTTAAAAGCTACTTCTTCATTTAGTAGCTGAACATGACTTTTTGGCTCAAGAAACCTGCTACTTTTTATTTGGCATTTCTGTATATCATTGTAGCTGAAGGTTTGTGACCTTGAATCTTAATAAAAAAACTTTACGATAGGTCTATAATAGTGGTAAAAATCATAATAATAATAATAACAATAATAAAAAAATAGCCAATGAAATTAAAACAGCATTATCATCCTTGTAGTTATACTAGACCTGACCTAATGAACACCAAGATCTTTCACTTTTCTAATTATATCTAAAATACAAATATGTAAAAAGAAAGTAGATATTTTGTATTAAAGAAAACATTATATGTATCTTTCCATGCCTTTCTCCATTAAGAAATAGACCTTGCTGTGAAAAATTTTGCTAAATAAAAGTTTTTTTACATGTCAAATATCAAAATATTTTACAACTTAATAAAAATAGAATGTTGTCTTGGCCAGAGCTCTATGATTATTATTTGCAAGAAATTGAGACTAGATCTGTTAATGTACTTGGATTAGCTATAAACTCTTTTGAAGCAAATACCAATAATGACAAATATCAATCTGATAAAGAAAGTAAAGAAACTCAACTTGACTGGATGATTCTAGCAAAAACATATCCTAATAATCAACTATACAATTCTTTAGATTTTGGGTCTCACAATATTGATCTAGGCTATAACTAGATCAGAAAAAGCAAATAATGATATCCTACTCTTACAGATGCAAATACCTTCATTCAATGGACATGTAAAAACAATATAGAAGACCATAAAATTAATGATTCTGTTGATAGTGTGGTTAATTATGAAACTTTAAATGAGAAGCAAAAAACTATTCTTGATAGAATAGAATGTAATTATATTGCTAACATATCAGAAAAGTGTGTAGAACTGTTATGAATTATTATTATAGGTACAGCCAGAACTGGGAAGTCTTATTTTAAAAAAGCTATCCAGTATAAATTTAATGAAATTAGTAAAAAATATAATCTACTTCAACAAATTCTTGTGCTTACTTCTACTGGGATTGCTGCTTTTAATATTTATAGCTTTACAATTTATTTAGCATTATCAATCCTGGTAAACTCAAAAATGTTTGATTTAACAGATGAAAGTTTAAAATACCTACAAAACAAGCTAAAATAGGTAAAGTATTTTATAATTGATGAAATGAGCATGGTAGGATAATGAATCTTTGACTTAATAGATCTGAAAATGTGTTAAGCATTTTCTAATTGTTAAAATATTCTATTTGGTGGTTGCTCTATTATTTTTGTTAAGATTTCAAACAGCTTACACATGTTAGTGATATTCCTATATATGCACAGAATTCTCATCCTTCTGATGCTTTATCTGAAAATAGGCATACAGCTTACACTCAATTTTGAGAGATTTACAAACTTGATATTATACAACATCAAGCTGGCAATTTAGAAGAGCAATATCAATTTAGATCTCTTCTATTATGTCTCTGTGATGGTGCTTCAACAATTCCGAATTGGAAAATAATGTTGAATAGACTGCCAGAAAAATTAACTCTACAAGAATATAAACTTTTTTTAATGCTACTTATATTCTACCAACATGGGATGCTATTGATAAGATAAATACTAAAAAATTAAAATCCTTAAATCAACCTATTGCCAAGATATATGCTTTTCATAGTGATAATTATGAGGCTTCAAAAGCTAATTCTGACATTGCAAAAGGTCTAGAAGCTGAACTGCTACTCATTATAGAAGTACATGTAATGCTAACTACAAATATTTGGACTTCTGCTGGTCTTGTAAATGGTGCTATAGAAAGAATTATGGATATTATATATGAAGAAAGACATGGCCCCATTTTACTACCTAATGCAGTTCTGGTCATATTTGATAACTATCGTAGACCCACATTTACTACTTCTAAAGATGCTTAAGTTGTGCTGATTGCTGCTATTAAGAAAACTTGGAACAGAAAGTTTAGCATTTGCTCTTACTTCCAAATTTCTCTAATACTTGTATAGACAATCACAGTACATAAATCTTAAGGCTTAACTCTCCTTAAAGCTGTAGTGAATATTAGAGAAAGAGAGTTTACAGCTAGCCTCCCATTTGTAGCAATATCACAGGCTTGGTCTATTAATGATCTAATATTTGAGCAATTTATCTTTGAGAGATTTCAACGTATTAAAAAATGTACAAGAGTGCAAGAAAGAATATTGGAAGAAAAACGTCTTCTAGATATTATCACAATTTTTAATTAATTTTACGTATAATAAGACTATATAAATTTAATTAATTTGTTCTCATAATCTGGCTATATTATCTTTTAAGAATCTTTATAAATGAGTATAATTTTTAAATTTAAATTGCTTTGTATATTTCTTTTAGCCAGATTACAAGTCACTTTGAAAACTTAGATATAATAAGAACTAATTATTTAAATTTTTGTGATTTATTATATAAAAGAACAATGTTTTACATACTAATCATGATATAATTATATCATATTAATCTTTTAACCTCTAATAACTGATATCACAGAAGTTAAAAGCTTTATAGTTTTATCGAACATAAAGATAATTATATAATAGTTAAGCAATGATATTAAAAAATTTTTTATTACTAATAAATTGTAAATTAATAGATTTATCAGTACAACTTTAAAAATTTGTTTGTGAATACAAAGCAGTGCTCTGAACCCAATGGATTTCATTTTCCTAGTATAAATAAATGTTTGGTTTTTTAGGTCCATGTATTATTCTATATTGATATATATATGCCAAGATTTCCTGATTTTAAAATTTATTTTAAAACTTTTAATTCAAATCTAAAGGTTAGTAAAACAAGAAAAAGATAATAATTATCAGGCTATTATAAAGAATTAATTCTGTATAGTATAGTTGATATTAATGCTTGTTATTTGATATTTATACAAATTCATACAAATTAACAAAAAAGCAAATCAACAAATCTATTCACTTATCATTATAGTTTGTATAATTGTCAATAAAGAATAAGCTATCAATAAAATATATTCTGACCTAACAAAATAATAGGGTGTATTTTAAAATCAGCGTGTAATTCATTATAAATTTTATTATAATAATAAATTTAAGAAATTTTAAAAGGAAACTACTTCAAAGAAAAAGAATGCTTTACGTACCATATATCTATTTATCTACTTTAAAAATGTTAGAATATATATATAAGCTTCATTACAAGTTTTGGAATTTTTTAATTAAAATAAGCAAACCATTAAAATAACTATAAATGTAAAAAAAAAATTTGTTTGAAAGAAAAGAAATAATTTATATGTTATATGTCCACTTTCCATTTAAAAAACATTGGAATATATATATAAATAAGTCTGTCAAATTGTATACTATTAGATAAGCCAACTAGTAAATATATAATAAATTAGTTAAATATAAAAAAAAAAGTTACTTGAAAAGAAAAGAATGTTTATAAATCTTATATTCACCTATTCACTTAGACAAAATATCAGGAGTATGCATATTATTTACATAGTTCTGTTAATTTCACCAAAAATCACTTCACTAACAACTTAGTTCACAGACAATTAATTTACAGACAAGATTATTTTACTGATAATTAATTCAAAGACAAGTTCATTTCACTGACAGTTTATTTCATCAACAAAGTAATTCTAGTTATTGTCATTAGAGTCAGATTCAGAATTAAAGTTAAGGTTAATACAATTTATAAAAAAAATTTGTTAGTGAAATGAGCTATTAGTAGGATAACTTGTTAGTAAAATGAACTTGTCTGTTAATTAATTGTTGGTAAAATAAGCTTGTCTATAAATTAACTATCGGTGAACTAAGTTGTCAGTGAAGTAATTTTTAGTAAAATAATACAGATCCTTATTTACATTAGGTTACTATAAAGCTTTAAAATTTGTTAAAATATATAAGACATCCAGTAAATATATAGCGTTTCTATATAGA